TGACCACCATCTTCTACTCCCCACCTAATACTCTTCCATGTTCCGGTGACTTATGGAACCCTATCTCTGTATTTCAATGTGCTTAGTGAAGATAATATTTCAGATTTGATTAAATCTCTAAGACAAAGTTGCCCAAGTTCCTCTCTGAAAGGAGTGGGCCTTGTCACATTGACCTCAATGTGAACAGTCTAGAAGGAGCTGTGTTGCTTGCTAGGCACTGGAGCATGAATCAGTTTTGCACTGAACTAAGGAAATCACCCCCATGCCAACCATGCATCCGAGTACCAGCACTGAGGAAGTCATCTTGTCCTTCCGGTCATCTCCAGTCACACTTGTGTCTTCCCCTTTGCACCAGGCACCAGACCTGCATTCCTGAGTTAAAGGATGGGAAGAAAAAAAGTTGCCCATATACGTGTGGTATCTCTTGTTTAGCCAAGTTGGGGAATGCTGGTCAATACCTGGGGGATGAGAATGATGTCAGACACCTTGTGAGACAGGGTTGCTGGAAGTCCAGCACTGTTGGTCTGGACACTGCAAATGCTCCAGGGGCAAAGCCTGGAGCCTGATGGGCTGCACGATCCCTAGAAGCTGCCAGAGTTGACAGGAGGCCTTAAGGAGCAGAGGGTTTTAGCCATTTCCTGAAAGAGCTGTTCCATTGGCACTATAGCTCAGGCCACTTCCATTCACCTGCCAGGAAATAACTCACAGATGTAGGTCTTCTGAAGAAGAAGTCAAATAGTATGTAGAAAACAACCAGCATCATGCATGACACGGAGTGATGATGTAGTTGTAAGTGTGCTATCCTCATTTTCATTTTAGCCCAAGCAAATCCTAGCAACAAAATGCATCTATGCATAAGCCAGAAAGTTCTTAAATTACTTTTGTGTTACTATGGTCAGTTGAGAGTTGGGCATGAATATGTGGTGCACAAACTGTCCTGTGTTGGAAGCTCCAGGAAAACAAAGAACAACATCAACTTCTCACGCGTGCCTGACCTTGCTTCACCTCCACACCACACTGTAGGTGGCTGCATTGTAGCTATGCTACAATGAATGACATGATTTTGTTTCTCTGGAGCCTACTAAAAAAATTCATATTCAAATTTAAAATTCTGAAGGTAATGCCATTCTGTTTTTGCCTTAGGAGTAGAGAGATGAACTTTATCTGTGTCAAGCCCTGCTGAAGTAATGTGAAGTAAGACAATGGTGCAATGATGAAGAAGGACAGTGAGAGAGAATAAGTAAAGAAAGGGTGGGAAGGACTGGGCTGATAATGCACACCTGTTATCATAGTGCACAGGAGGCTGAGGCAGGACCAGCCTGGGCTACCTAGTGAGACTCAGAAAATGAAAGAGGGAGGAAGGAAAGAAGGAAGGAAGGAAGGAAGGAAGAATTGAGGGAAGGAGGGAAGGAAGGAAAAGGAAGAAAAGAAAGAAAGAAAGAAAGAAAGAAAGAAAGAAAGAAAGAAAGAAAGAAAGAAAGAAAGAGAAAGAAAGAGAAGGAAAGAAAGTAAGGGAGTGGGAGAGAAGAAAGGAGAGAGATGGGGGAAGAAAGAGAGGGAGAGAGAGAAGTGATGGAGTGTGTCTTTGATTAGCAGACTGCAGCAGAGTATCACAGCTGGAATTGGACATTCTGAGACACAGTCAGGGAAGGAAGTTATATTTTCTCTTGGCCTGAGGGCAAAGCATTAGCAGTTTCTGACAGTGACAAAGGGTGGGCTCAGGTTTCTGAAATCCAAAGTGTTGTGGGTTTAGAGTTTATCTAGATCAGAGGTGATAGGTTGAGGTCAGTGTGGAACATGACATTTGATATTTTCATTGTACTGGCAACTGGGAGTGATGGATAGCAGAGGAAGGTACACAAAATGATCCCCGCATATCTCACCATGCAAATACCAAGCCCACCTGACAGCATGGGGGCCAGCTCCAGGCAGGACGGATGTGGGTCTGTTGGCCTTTCCATCAGTTAAGTCTAACTTCCTTTCTTCCTTGCCTTCCCTCTGTCCTTCCTTCTTTTTCCTTTTTTCTGTTCTAAACACTTTTCAATTGTAAAGATACATATTTAAAAAATATGTGATATCTATATATTTATACACACACATACATGGGGAGTTAATGAGTGATTATATTATAAAAGGAATATCTTTGTGAAGACAGCACAACAGCCAGAAGCAAAGCAGGTGTTTGGCCGGGAAGCCCTGGCCCACCTTATTGCCCCTTGTGAACATCTCATTCTCGGAGGGCGAGCACTCTGCTGAACAACCGTAAGCATCGCCTTTGTTCTAATTGGGAGCTGCTAATTACTTATATATTTTTCCTGAAAAATATAATGTAGTTTAAGCTACTTTTCAACTTCTTAGAAAACAAGTTCCATGACTTTTTCATTGTTCAATATAATGCTTAGAAATTTTTCTGTTAGTGCATGTAGCTGCTGCTCAGTTGTTTTATTTTCTGAGAATCACTTGAGGTGAATATATTAAAGATTACTGAGCTCTTCAATTCTGGTAACCAGCCTGGTTATTTCCAGTTTGGGCGTTGGTGAATTCGCTTTCATTCATCCTCTGGTTCACAAGCGCAGCAGCTTTCTCTACAGTGTACAGCAAATGTGGAAGCCCTGGACCTGGGACATGCACAATCTTACCTCAGGTGTCCATGCCAATTATTTCCTCAAGTGAATGGGCCAATTTATACTCCACTCAGCAGGGAATGAAAGCTGTTACCAACACTGGTGTTGCTCAACTTTTAAAGTTTTTGATGTTCAGCTTCATTTTATGGTTTCAGTATTCATTTTTCTTTTCTCAGCTGATGCTGAACAACTTTTCATGCTTCTGGCCAATTTGGCAGTGTCAGTTCTCATCTTTTTACAATTACTTGTATTAATATATATTTTTCTTCAGGATGCATATACTTTGTTGTTACATATTTTGGATACTTATTGCCAGTTGTATGACTGCAGATATTATTCTATTATGTGGCTTGGATTTTTACTCTTTTATGTTATCTTTTTAGTTATAATTTGTTTTTCATTGAGGATTAAACCCAGGGTCTTGTGTATGCAAGGTGAGAACTCTATCACTGAGTGACATCCCAGGCCTAGCTATGATATTTTTGAGACATAAATATTTTCATTTTTGTGACAGTATAATTAATAGTTTTTCTTTATGTTTAATGTAAAGTTTTGACTTTATTGAAGATCATGAAAACATTGTCTTATACTATCACCTATAAATTTATGTGGTATAATCTTCTTAGTGAGATTTTTACACAACATGGAATAAATTTTATATATTATATGAGATAAATGATGGATTACATTTCTTCCAAACTGTTAGTCAACCATATGTGCATCACTTATTGAAAAAGCTATGTTTTCCTTAATGTCATATAATGTTCCTACTGTCATAGTTCAAGGGATCATAGGTCTATGATTTTGTTTCTGAGTTGCAGGGTTTATCATGGTCTTGTCTTGCATGAATACCACACCTAAATTATGATAGGGCATAAAAAGTGTTGATTTCCTTTAAAGATTTTCTGCTATTTTTTCTAGAATGTGTTTTTGCTCTTACTGCTTTGTCTTTTAACTGGTATTTAGAAACAGCCCATCACACTGCATAGAAATCACTACACACATACTTTGCTTTTAGGGTTTTGATCAACCTTGCATTAAGTCTATAAACCAATTTTGTAGGATTCAACATCTTTAAAGTCTGAAGCATTCCAAATGTCATAAACATTCTACTCTTCCAATTAAACCTTGTACAATAACCCTTGCCTAACTTTCATATTTTACATAAAATTTGGAATTTTTGCAAGACTTATTTCCAGATATTTTGTATTTCCTGATGCTATCACAAATTATACAATTTCATTTTCTAATATTTTACTCTAAGTAAATATATATGCACATAAATAATGTAAAGTTGCTAAATCATATATGAGATTTCAACAACTTTTCTATCATTCTTATAATTTATCTGTAGTTTTTAAAAATTTTTGTACATGCCATTATTTAATAAAAAATAATGAAAGTTTTGTTTCTTCATGTCTAATCCTGAACATTTTCATGGCTTCCTGTTGCTTTTCCACATTATTCATAAAGTTCAGAACAATATTGCAAAGGCCTAGTCACAGTGGCTCCCTGGTATTAAGAACCTCAGAAAAGAAAATTTCCATCATCGATTGCATTTATACCAGTGTTTTTATTAATGTAAACCTCCTTTCAACTTAATGATAGCCTCTTCAACTTTTATTGCAAAGATTTTTTAAAATAATGAATTGTTGAACTCTATCCAATTTTTGAGTGGGTCTAAGTTTATTACTTACTGAGAGAAGTATGTTAAAATCTCCCTCAATGATTGTGCATTTACTTATTTGGGGGGTAACTGTATTGATTTTAGCAACAAATATTTTAATCTATATAATGAAACATTTAAAGACTTAGAGTTGTTATATTTCCTCATAAATGAAAAATGTCCTCATTATGAAGTGATCCATTCATGAGCTATACTCATGGCTGTAGAGTCTATTTTGCTCAGTATAAATGCACTGATACTAGGTCAGGATTTATTTTCCATGTATTTACTTGGAATCATTTACATTCTCATGGTCTATATGTCCCATAAAAAACTTACACATTGACAACTTTATATTCTCTAATAATTTTTATTAATTAAAACATTTATTTCACATGTTAATCTGGATTTATATCTCTCATCTAGCCCCAGTGGCCTAATGGATAAGGCACTGGCCTCCTAAGCCAGGGATTGTGGGTATATCTTTCATTAAATTTGAGCTTGCTCTTCTAAGATATTTTAAATGTCTTAAATTTATAGGATGATGTTTTAATCATTTCATTTTAATTTCTAATAAATAATTATGTACCATCAACCTACCATGGTTTATTTAACACTTTCCTATTTATACTTCTTCATTTTTACTATAATGGAATGTATGCGTGTGTATTCCCATTTGTTATTATGTTCTAGGAAGACAGTTTCTATAATTTTAGAAGATGAAGTTTTTTAAAATTTTATTTTCAAATTGACAAATAGTAATTATGAGCTACAGGGAGATGTTAGATACATGGATCCACTGTATTATGATTACATTAGGCTAACTAGCACGCTTGTTTCACATACATAATTGTTTTGTGGTGAGAACACTTAAAACCTGTTTTCACTGATGTTGAAATGTACAATACATTGTTAACTTACTATAGTACTACACAGATCGCTAGCACTTATTCCCGTCTCACTGGAACTCGCCCCTTCGATTAACATCTTCTCTTTTCTTATCCACCTTCCCCACTCTCTTCCCAGCATCTGGTAACTGCCCTTCTAGTCTCACACTTCCGTGAGTTTCACATTTTTAGATTTTGCATGTAAGTGAGATCAGGCAATATTAGCTTTCTGTACTGGGCTGTTGATTTTTAGGGGTCTCTTACAGCATTCTGTTGTTAAAATGCATTCCATATTAAAGTGTATCTCAAAGTGAAGTGGTTATCATTTATAATATGGGAATAATAATACCCCCATCATACAGATGTCAGACTGTAACAATTTAATGTATACTTAGATACAATCCCAAAGTACACTCTAACTAAATACCAAAAGCAGCCTCCTCAGGCCATTTCTATCATTCCCATTCCTGCTAACGTGTTTGTGCACATTTCATTATAATCGAATGAGTCCAGAGAGATGAGACTGCCAGGTAAACATGAGCCCCCTTTCCTGCCCTGTGGCCCACCATCTCCTCTGGTCATTTTCACTGTGTCTAATCGTTGACATTACTTAATATACAATTAGTACAATTTCTTAAATCATAAATTTTCAAATTGTTCTTCCTTTCAGTATAACAGAACTCTAGCTCTAGCTTGAAACTGAATGTTATGATTTGCTTAAATTCCAAATATGTGATACATTACACTGCGAATATAAAGGGTGGCCCCAGCCCCACTGCTGACCTGCAGGGTGATTCCAGATAACTCCACCCACCTAGTCATCTGGACTGTGGGAAAGTAAAAATGCTTGTCCTGAAGCTACTGGGCTTGCTGTGAGAACTGGATCTGATCTGGCCAAGAGCAAGCAAGTGCGCCTGAGTGTGTGCAGACGGGGCGTGCACACGTGAGGGGTGGTCCAGGAGAGCCTAGGTCTAAACTTCTGGGAACACATTCCTGAGCTGTGTCTCCAGCTGCTTTCCCTCAGCTTGGTGACTGTGAACAGAGCCCTTGAGGTCTGAGAAACTTTGTTAGTCCATGAGTGCAAAAGGATGAGAGAGAAGGATAACATTTCTTTCTCTATAGGGAACTTTCAACATCTTTGAGGAAACAGAATTTCTTTTGATCACAGAACAGAAAGGATATTAACCATGGAGTGCCCACCAGGGAGAGGGTGTCAGTGAATTGGCCCTTGGAGAGGACAAGGGCCCTTGGTCAGAGAGAAGCTGTCGGAGGTGACAGGATGGGTGACAGGAGGTGACAGTGATCAGCCTCGAGCCCAGCACCAGATCTGCTGTATTTGTGAGGCTTCACTGCAGCTTCCACTGTGCTCCCAGGGATGGACAGGAAAGACGCCTCTGGAGACTAAAAAACAAAGCCCATAGCAGGGTTTCTTGCAAAGCCAGCAGGGCAAGGCAGGCAACCTTGTGTCAGTTTGGGGATCAGGGGAGCACCCGCTGCACCCAAGGAGTCTTACACTTAGCTGCAGCCCTGTGCGCGAAGTGGGTGCGGGTGGGGGTGTGGGTGCAGATGTGCCCTGTGCTGGGGTGCTCAGTAGAAGAGTAGGAGGACCTGGACTACCAGGGGTCTATGGACAGAGTGGAGGCAACAGGGGTAAATAGTCACCCTTTTCCCATTAGGAGTGACTCAGCCTTGGGTCTCTCCCGAAGCTGCTCTGTCTGAACAGGGCTGTCACAGGGCTGTGAAGAGTTGACTCTGATACGTATCCCTCTGTGTGTTAGAGGGCAAATTTGTAGAAATAATAAGTTCCCCAGAGTTGAATGCGTGACTCAGCTTCAAAAGGAACCCCAGGCCAGTCCTGGTGGGGCCACGCTAAACCCCTCTGAAAGAGGGATGTGCATGGTGGCGGCTGCTCTGGGTCTCCACAGGGAAAGAAAATCTGCTTAAAATCAGCCTCGCCCTTGTCTCAAGCTGCTACTTCTGTCTCTCTCCTTCCTTTCCCCACTCTCTCCTCCTCTTCCTCTTTTTGGGAAAATAATGTCCCTTTCTTTCCTTCGCCTCCCAACCCCAGCCTACGGGTCCTAGTTCATAGAGCCCCCAGACCACTGTGAGGAAGCAGGGGCTGCTGCTTACCCTAGTGAGATGGGCTCATTTCTGGCACAGGAATGAAAAGATGAAGCTGGAGAGGATTTGTTCTGAGTGACTGTCAGGGTCAAAGTCTCTCCCATATTTCACTCCTTCAGAACTGATCACTGAACTCTTTTCAAACTTGTCCCTGGACCTTACACCCCAAAGCTGTGGTTGCTGACAGCAGCTTGGAATTCTGGCACTGCAGAAGAAACTCTGCCCCTGTACCCAGTAACTTCCTGGAGAGGGGAGACAGTCGTCTCCTTCCTGTGTATCGCCTGCAAAGGTGGCCAAGGATGAACACAAGCCAGCGTGACTGCCCTATGACAGAGCTTTGGGGCCTCAGAGTGAGTCTGTTAGCCCTTGAAGGGAGTGGGCTCCATCCCCAGGATCAGGCGTGGGGCCCTTTTAGAATGCAGGTCAAGCCTCTGAGTCTGTCCTCCAGCTGGTGAGAAAGCATCTCTGCTTGTGGCAGAGATAGGGTCTTGAAACTTTATGGAAGCAGCACGAATGAAACATAAACATGCCTTCTCCAGATGCTTGGGGCTCTGTTTACAGATTACATCTCAGGATGTGTACATCTGATGTTCTTATTCCAGGACGTTGATGGCAGGGGGACTTGTGCAGTGATGGCTCTGTCCCGTGAATGTCTGATGAACTGTTGGGGTGTGAAAAGGACAGGGAGACACACTAGGGGCTCCGTGTGAGAGACATCGGCTGCGAGCTGGAATGACAGGTTATTTAGAGTGCACCCAAGTGGGGTTCAGTGAACCCTGCAAGACCTAAGCCCTCTTTTCTATTGCAACGCCAGGCAGCATGATCTTGACAAACAGAATAACGTGTGCAAGCTATTGACACTGTGATTCTTAAGCTGTCTAATGTAGTCTAACAACATTTCTAGGGAGCTGTGTGTGTTTAAATATTACTTCAAAATTTATCGTTAGTTCAGAGGTCAGCTAATTACAGAACTGTGCAGGTGCTGAGGACTTGCGAGGTCTCCCAGAGGTAGCTGGATCATTTCCTTGGTGGCGTTTCTGGAGGGAACCCTTACAGGCGGCCATGGGTAAACTTGCAGGGGCCTCTTGGATTTATGGAACACTTAGAAAATCTGTATTGTGCCCAACACTGAGCTAGATGGTGGAGTGAGAACAGACAAGTTGATTCGCAGTCTCACTGAGGTGGTGCTTAGTCTCACTGGGAGTTGAGACAGACTCACAGGAGACAAATACATGGAGAAATGAAAGCGGATGTGGTGCAAGACATAGCCAGACATGGAGGAAGCACTAAGACTGATCAGTGTGCCTTCTTCTCCATCGCTGAGTAGAATGGCAACTTCAAAATATACGCCTCAGATGACCCAACTTGAGATGCAGCCAGGGCGACCTGGTAGCAGTGCCTTCGGTGTCTCACTGTGTTTCCTGTTGGGCTGACCCATGTGGTACTGCCTGGAGAAAGAGCAAACACAAACGGATTTGCCCTGGCATTTCTTTTTTTTAATTTTAAAAATAAAAGGAGGAAAACATTAACAGACAAACAACCTTTTACAAAATAGCAAAAGAACAGCACAGACAATACAGAGTGTGACTTGGGTAGCTGAAATCATGGCGGCGTTCCTGGGCTGCCCCTCGTCCTCAGCTCTGTGGCTTTCACCAGCTCTGTTGGACTGCGGGTAGCATATGTGATAGAGCTGGAAAGCAAAAGAAGAAATGCCTTTGCTTTCCAGCTCTATCACATATGCTACCCACAATCCAAAAGAGCTGGTGAAAGCCACAGAGCTGAGGACGAGGGGCAGCCCAGGAACTCCGCTATGATTTCAGCTACCCAAGTCACACTTAGCTAAGTCCTCCCCTTTTGGTTAGAATAATCCAGAGTTCACAAGTCAACCAATTCCGGTGTCTAAATAAGTAGAAAGAACAGTTCTGAAGCAAAGGATTGCTCTAAGCTTAAAAAGTTGTTATAAACCTTTATTTTTCCTGAACTTCATTTTATAAGCAAATATAGCATAAATTTATATAGACTAGTGAATGTAAGAAAGCAATATAGAAAGCAAATATAAGATGCATATGTAATTTTACATATATAAAATTTTAGTTATTTCCAGAATATTTTACTAAATATAAAACTGCTTTAAAATAACATTTTTTCTTTGTCTTATTTGACATCTAAGAAAATAATAAAAATATTTCAGCTCTTTAAAAACCATTCTAACTGAAACCATGCCAATAAGAATGGAGACACTGGCCTTATGCCTACTTCGGTGGCTACTAATGCAGCCAACATCTACCCACCACATCTGCATGCCAAACGTAGTGTCAAAAATAAGATGGGGTGAATCAGGCATGGTTCCTGCCCTTTATACCCACTTGATTTTTAAGCGGCTGTCACTGTGGAGGACTCTTTATGGGTATCTCTTTGAAGGATGAAAAGTTCCCCAGGAAATACTATCCAACATCTTTCCTACGTGCTCCTTCATGACTCATACTGAAAACTTCCAGGCTGACATGAGCCTGAAAAAAAAAGCAAGCAAGAAAAACGAGAAGTAAATACATGTGATAATAAATTTGAGATCATAAACCTTGGGATTCTTTTTATAATACCACGCACTTCAAACTTAGGCAGTATTTTTCATTCGGCGTGGATTTAAAGGTAGCTCAGAGAAAACACAGGATTAACTCTAAGTAGTAGGGTAGTAAGCACGAGCCAAACTCCCAAATAAACACATCAGAGACTCGGTCTAAAAAAAGACAGGACACAAATAACCTTCTCTTGATGTGCCTACAGTTTCATTTAACTGTTCCAGGTCATGAACTAATTTGCCAAAAAGAGGTTAACTCCCGAGCAGTGAGACAGCCTTTCAGGAAACAGGCTCCAAACACACTGCCCCTGGAGGCTGGGCTGCGGGAGGCCCTGCCCAGCAACGACTCTCGAATGAGCGCTTTAAAAACTCTTAGTGTAAGTGGGGGACCGCGCAATGCTTTAGGACCTTGGAGACTATGGGCCTTAACAAACATGGGCTTGGCTGTTGCCCAAATACAAAGTCTCCAAGTCTAAGAATTGGCCTAAATAAACGCGTTTTGAGAGGCTGCGTGACCTTGGACAGCCTACTTCCCCTTCCAAGGCTAGGTGTCCTCCCTAGAGGCAGAGTTTAGAGGGGTGGCTCTCCGGGTCCCTCCCCGGACACAGAGGCCTCTTTCCCTGAGGATTCTTCACAGGAAGGCTGGCCTTTGCTCCAACCTTCCAGCTGAATGCAAACAAAAAAGTAGCCAAGGTCCTGGGAGCTCAGCTGGAGTGTGCTTTCCATTCAGGATAATCCTGCAGAACTCGGGCTGGAGGCTGAGTAGCAGCATTATATCCTTTCCAGGCAAGGGCCTAGGTTCTCTTTTCAGGTGCCATGGTCCCCCTGTCACTGTGGATCTCGTCATTTCTGGCCTCGTCTGACCTAAGTCTGTGCACGCTGGTTTCCCCGCATATAGATGTTACTTACTGGGGGCTTTGTTATTCGTGCACAGTCCTAGGCCTGGCTCCTAAAGACTCTCCCTAGTATGCCTGGGTACTTTGGGCTAACAAACACCTGAAGGACTTGCTGATTGAACTTTTCTGGAGTTGGGGCTGATCTTCTTCCCAGATTCCTATTCCTGGGAGCTGGGGCCTCTCAGATGTTGGGATGCACATGAGAAAGGACCTGAAGGAACTCAATCAAAATTTGATGGATAAGTGAACTGATGAAGAAGCAAGGTGTATACAGTAGGAAAGGCAGTTACCATCATGGCCTACCTGACACTGGACTCAGGGAGAACTTTCCAGGCAATTCATGAGAAGTCAGGGTGAGTGGAAGAGACGGTCCAAGACAGGTTCAGAGCTGGGGCTGCAGTGGGCCACCAGGAAGAGCGCGCCTCTTGTCCAGCAAGCACATTAGGTCACAGGGAGTCCCTAAGCCTCTATGATATTTTAAGCTACATCCTTCAAAATGTTAAAAGTGGGATTACAGTGGGAATGACTGTCAGTTTGCTGCCGTCCTAGGGAGCAGTGCATGACAGCCTGCTTGGGCCGAGAGAGCATGGGACTTCTCTAGGTGGAACTACCTGGAGCTCACAGAGAACGAGCAGCCCGGTGTGTTGTGGGGGGGATAAAACAGTTCACAGGCTGCTACTCTTCTGTGACATAGCTTTTATGAGGGGAGAGCAAGAATATTAAGCTCATTGCTTCCAGATGGGAAGGTTGGACAAGACAGAGAGGCCTTGGCTCCCAAAGCCTGGACGCTGCAGTGCGATATGGATGTGACATATTGAAGCAATCGGGATAGGAGATCTGGCTTTGGCCAAAACTGTCAGATAGATACTTTTTAAAACATTACATGGTTTGTAACAAGGCTTTGTGTATCTCTGGGAAGGCAGGCGGTGGGGAAGTACGCTTCCTTTGTTGGGTTTCTGGAGCTCCTCTCCTTCCACACAGGAGGACTCAGCCCAGGCCCTGCAGTGCAGCTCGCGCTGGGCTCGCTGAGCCAGGCCGGGGTTCGCCCAGAGCGGGGTCCTGGGCCCAAGGAGCCTGGAATCTGCTCAATAAACCATCTTCTACAGAGCGAATCCTGGGAGAGATACTTTGGGCTGTCTGGTGGGACCTCAGCCACCAGAGGGCGCCAGTGCCCGCCTCATCCCGACAGTCCAGGCCCTGCCCCTCTTTTGTTCAGGCCCAGTCCCCCCTCTGCCTTCCTGCCCATACCGTGCACCAAAGCAGGACGGGGCGGGGAGAACACCCAGACCCTGTCCCTGAGGACCCTGTCCCTGGGGACTCCCTTCCCCGAACTCCCCTAGCTAAGAGAGCCCCCCTAACCCATCTCCCGGAACCCCCCAGCAGAGAGACCCACACCCCCTGAGGATGCTCCTAGCGGGTCCATGTGCACCACCACGGAAGAAGCCCGCTGGAGCTACCCTTGGAAGCCTGGACCCCAAAGGTGCCGGCTAGCTGTAACTCCCTTAGAAGAGAGGCCCCCTTCTCTAAGTTCACACCTGAGAACACGTCCCAGCAACCCCCACCCGCCCAGACCCGTGTCTGCTTCACATTTCAAAGGCTGGGAACTGTTAAGCTTGTATTTTGATTAAAATTTTGTATTAGCTTTTTTTCACCCCTTTCGATGTAATTTCAGGATATTTAATTTCAACCAATCATCTTTGGGGAAGGGGAGCCATTTGATGTGAAACAGCACCCAGGGAAAGCTGGCCAAGTTAGAAAGCTGAGCGGCTCCGGGCTGCAGAGATGTGACAACTGAAATCTCTTTTGTTCTCCCAAGCAGGGTCTGAAACCAAAGCCCTTCAAGGAGAGGGAATTTCCTCTGGGCTTTGAGTCAAGGACCGGTCCTCTCCAGACACCACCTTAGTACTCTTGGGGGCCCAAGCGTGTCCCTGGAGAGGATGCCCAACAGTTGCCCTGGCCACTGAAGTTCACTGAGAAAAACAGCAGGACCTTTGGAAAAGCTGGTTTTGGAGAAACCACAGTGGACATCAGTTACAACCTCCTAGGTTCGGTGGAACGCAGCATCAGGGCCTGGGTTACACTAAGAAGAATAAAGGAACAATTGGCGAGCATTTCTCCCCAGTCCCACCCTGAGTGCTGTTCTAGGATGCAGGGCCTGTGTTCAAATGTCTGTGGGGCCAGCAGGAGTGAAAATGGAATTATGGGGAATGCTTGGCCTATGGTGGGTATAGAATAACATTGTTGTTGACTGATTAATAAAAGTGGGTCTGCTAGGAGACCATGTGGAATCGTGGGAGTCACGTCAAACCTGAAGGTACATGCCCTGCCTCTGATGTTCAAATTGCTGCTTTTTAAAGCATTAAAAAGCCTTGGTGCTATGAATGTATTTCTTGGTATCCACTTCACAAATGTTGGGAGTACTCGAAGGACCAAGGAAAGAGAAATAAGTGTGGTGGAATAGGAAGTCCCAAATACACAGTCAGCCCTGATTGTAATTTCCTGTTTTTGCTCAAAGGACAGTTGCACTTGTCATTCTGCTGGACCACTTTGGGCGAGGCGCGCTCAGCCACACTGGAAACCATGTAGAATGACCAAGCAGCCCTCTCTGTTACAGGCCCCTTGGCGATGACACCCTGTTGGGCCAGTGACAAGTACTGTATCTTCATTTTCCGCAAAAGCCCCTCTCAGCACAGCCATGAGGTAACAAGGGAGTGTAAGGGACAGCCAGCCTGATCTTAGACCTACTCGTGGGCTTGGGCTTGGTTCCTCCAGTCGGGGTCACACTCACCGCCGTTCTTCTTACTCCCCAATGCTGACTCTGAGGACCCAGGGAAGATGCCATACAAAAAGGCTTTGTAAACTGTAGTATGCTGAACAAATATGGAGTTCATCCTGCCCAGTTTAGGAACAAAAACTAGAAAAGTCCTTTAACTGACGTGGACTGTTGGCATGGTTTTCTCCATAGTTGAATACAATTCCTCCATGGAGAGATCAACATTTATTTTTCCTTCCTGATACTTCTGACAAAATAATGAGTCCAAAGTTCACATCTGTGTGTTACCTCCAACTCTGACCTCCAGCCAGGCATTCCCTTCGCCTCCCCTCCCCTCTGCGTCTTCTGCCCTCACGGGTGTGAGTCATCCTCAGTCCATTGCTCATTGTGTTCAGTAGTTTCTGAACTCACCTCAAGTATATCTGGCCCCAGGTGTCCTGAGTTAGGTTTTAGGTGAAGGTACCATACTTCACTCCGGAGTTCAGGAAAACCGCTCCAAGCAGTTAAGGAAGGCTGTGGCCAAGGCCAGCCCCTGCTGTCAAAGCCCTGCATTGCTCGCTGCTCGGGTAGAGGCAGATGCTTAGAGTTATGTTTCCAATAAGAGCCATGGATTTGCACTGCCTGATGATCAAAGACAAATTCTTAAGCCTGGAATTTGAGGCTATCCAAACCTGGCAATCTCTTTCTTGCCTTTTCCTCCTCTGTTTCCTTATGTGCACTCCGGGCCTCAGTCGTCTCTTCTGTGTACATGTCCTGTATTTTATACATCCCGCTCTCATGCACAAATATTTCTGTTTGAATGTTGTCCCTTGAATGTCTGACTGCCGTGAGCATGAGTACCGGGGCGATATTTTTCTATTCCTCCATGTCAACAGGGAGACAGGGGCAGGATGGAGCATTCCCTATTTCCAGGAGGAGAGAAAATTAGAGGGTCATTTCTGGTCCTTTTCCTCCATCTTTCTCTTCTTTCCAAGAGTGAAGATGTGACTGGGACCAAGGCCTAAGCAGTGTGGCCTCAGGCTCACTCTTCTACAGGGCACCTCCTCACCCAGCTGGCATATGTAGGGCTCCTTGCCTGGCTCCCTCCCACTCTCCCCTGTGGCCAGAGCACAGGGACAGTCAAGAGCCCTGCTCTCAGTGCAAGTCCCTGCTTGGGGACACGCTCTGAGCACATGCTTTGGACCTAGCTCTGTCCTCATGAGTGTCATCTGAAACTTTGACTACAAGTCCTGGGGTTGGGGT